ATAATACCCTAATATAATATTAACCCTTATTTCTCGTTCTAATTTTTCAATTTCTTTTTTTAATTTTTCATTCTCTATCTCAGTAGTATTCGTTGGTGAACTAATATTCGCAATGTAATTAGCAAGCCTTGATTGATCATAATAACTTTGTATACGATCATATATGTTAATAATAGTAGTCATGTTTTCATCTAACTTATCTATATAAGAGGTTAAATAATCTCGTATTTCAGGAAATCCTTTAGAGATTTGCCGAAGTATAATCTTTATTTCGTTTAATGAACTTCGCACTTGCCACTTACTTAGATCAAGAAAAACGTGGGATTTTTGGTCTATTTGATTTCCTAAATTACAAATGTCGCTTTGTATTTTTTCGATCATAGGAATAATTTCTCTATAAATACTTTCTTCATACGATTCCAATTTTTTAATGTCATCCTCAGCTTGTTTGAATGCATTATTTAGTTTGCCAAATTTTTCTTTGTCGTTTTGATATTTATCGTATAACTCAAATTCCATGTCAGCAAGTTTAAATTCACTGCTAAGATTTTGCACTGTTACTAACATTTCTTTTGTTTCTTTATTAGTAATAACATTATTTATCTGTTTTTTTAATCCCTCTTCTAATTCCTTTTGTTTTTGCTCTAACTTATCTTTTATGTTTTCTACGACATCTGTACTACCAGCCACTTTTTTAACTTCACCTAAAATATCAGATAACATAGGATTGTTACTACATACTTCGTCTAATTTTTGTAATTGTTGTTTAGCAATTTTGATATGTTCATCTTTACATAAATTTCCCATTTGATTTAAAGAACTTTTTACATCTGAGAAAATTTCAAATTTTGATTCATTATTCTTATTCTTATCTTCATTATTCTTATTCTTATCTTTATCCATGAGTGATATGGCTTTATCAGCTCCCTTTTCTATTACTCCACCAACCATTCCAAGAGGGCCAACAGTATAACGCATTACACGAATTGTTACTTTTAAAATTTTAAGTAATCTTTTTAATATTAATTTATTCTTCAAATTTTTCTGCTCTTTTTCTAAACCTTCTTTATTTTCTTCAGCACTTTCTATTAATTGTTTGACTTCGTCACCTTCTAATAATTGTTTGACTTCGTCACCACCTTCTATTAATTGTTTGGCTTCATCACCACCTTCTATTAATTGTTTGGCTTCATCACCACCTTCTATTAATTGTTTGGCTTCATCAATTAATGATTTCATCTTTTCATTTATCTTATTACCAATATTTTCCATTTCGGGTTCAATTATATCATGAATAGTGCTATAGGCCTCTTGAACATTCTTTATAATTAAATCGTTATATTGATCATTAAAATATTTAATTGCATTTTGTTTTTTTGTATCATTGAATTTTTTGATATCATCTTCTATTGTTTCAAAATATTCATTTATATCAATGATCAAATTGGATCCTAATTCATGCTTGAGATAACAAATCTTACTAAATGTACATGCACGTAGATAGCTAAGAACTTTTTTATATTGTTCAGGATTTTTTCTTTCTTCATAATTAAGATGTCCTCCATAAATTTCAATATGTTTTAGAAAAAATTGATAAAAAGAAAGAGAATCAATGTCATTGTTGCCTGGTTTATTGAGGTGACTTTCTACATTTTGTAATTTCTCAACTAGTTTCATTGTAGAGTTGTTTTTAAACCGATAATAGCTATCTAACTGAGAACCATTGATTTGATTAAATAAATCAGTATTTTTGGAATTATTCGCAATATGCTTTCTCAAGAATATAAAGGCTTCAGGTTGACAAGAAATTATAGCTATATCTAACGGTTTCCAGTTATTTTTATTTTCAATATTAATATCTGCCTTTTCTTTTAGTAAAATTTCAATAACATTTATGTGACCATTCCACACGGCATCATATAAAGCTGTCTCATTATTTTTATCAACCTCATTAACCAAACTAGCATTTAATTCAATTAAATATTTTACAGTTGTTTCATGGCCTTCGGATGCAGCCCAATGTAATGGCGTTTTGCCATTGTCATCGTGACCAAGGGTTTCTTCATTATCAAGCAAAAACTTAAGGATTTTAATATTTCCTTTCCATGCGCAATAATGTAATATTGCACTTTTTTTTTCTTTTTTTTCCACTCTTCGGCTTAATCGCTTCGGAATGGCATTGGCGTTATGTAATAGTGAACTTAAAAAGCAAGCCTCTTTTTTCATTTTTTCCTCCAATAATAACTTACAAAGATTAATATCACGTTTCTCTATGGCCAAATTAATATGATAAAATTCTTCTTTATTGCTATCTTTTTCTTCGTTGTTAACTTCTGTTAGTATATCTTTTTCTTCGTTGTTAATTTCTGTTGGTATATCTTTTTCTTCGTTGTTAACTTCTGTTAGTAGATCTTCTTCGGCTATTTCTGTGTGCCTATTATCTGCAGATGCCGTTTTACCATTCTTATCCATTTTATTAATATCATTCTCTTTGTTGTTAACTTCCATTAGTAGATCTTCGGCTATTTCTGTGTGCTTATTATCTGTAGCTAAATCTAATGCCGTTTTACCATTCTTATCCATTTTATTAATATCAATAGCATAAGTATGTTTTTGTTTCAGCAAAATTTTAACAACTTCTTTACACCCTGCAGCTGCAGCAATGTGTAATAATGTCCAACCATTTTCATTAAAATTTTGAATATTCGCAAGCAATTTGACATATTTGTCATTATCATCAAATGATTTTGTTTGACACTTGCAGTTACGAAAATTTTCTTCTGCAAACGAACAAGAGTTGACGATGTTGATTTTTTCAGAGTTCTGATTCAAAGAAAATTTTGTATCAAGGGATCTTGAAATCTCTCTCATGGCAACAATAAAGGTTTCAATTGGTCCAATCAACTCTTTTTTCAAATTTTCAGCTGCTGTAACTGCACTATCTGCCTGATTGTTTGCTTTCTTTGCAGCTTTTTTCTTTTTATATGCACGGTAACCAATTACTGGAGCTGCGACAACATTTACACCCGGAATAAAAGCCACACCAACGGCTATGGCAGCTTCTTTGCCATGTTTTTGTATAAGCTCTTCTTTTCTTTCCATACAATGTTCAGATTGCTCATTCCATTCAGCCAAGGCTTTTTTAAAGTCTTCATAAAGGTATTCATGAATTTCTAAACACGCTTGAACACTTTGTTTTGCCTTTTCCGTCAATTTATTACCTTTAAAATTTTTATAGTTTTTATAGCTTTCAAACAATTCTTTTATGTTTCGGATAACCAATTCAGAAAAAGGCATGATCATGGTGCAATATATATTTGCATTATTGACGTCAGAGTTGCATAATGAATTGCTAATAGTTCCTATCGCTTTGATATTTTCCTCAAACTTTAATGACGTGTGATCCATGATTTTGTTATACTGTATAGGGATGGAAAAAAGACAAAATGATATGTTCTATTGAAGTTTATATAGAATTTTAAGATATAGTACATACCTGTATAAAAAGACTCTTGTAACGAGAATTATCTATTTTCGAAGCAGTATTGCTTCAAATGAATTTACTATTTGAGAGCTTTGTACAATCAATATATGTATACCTATAGAGATAATCGGTCTAGAGCGTCCTTTAGTGTCTACTCAAGTTGATATAAAAATTACGTTTCAGATGCATTATTATTACTTTCTTGGCGTCTGCATAAACATTGTGAAGATCATAATAAAAAGGATTTTGGAATTTTTTTGTCGTCTGCGTACGTACGTACGTACGTACGGTGCAAGAAATCTAATAACCACCATTATACCTTATAAAGACAATATATATGCACTGAAATCCTAAATCATTAGCAACAATAAAATGTGTGGGCAAATACTCGATAATTTAAGAAATATTATTATCTGAATGGCGTAATCTGTTATCTATAATCAAGTTATACATTAAAGTTCATTATCAACCTCAATATTAAGTTTCATTGTTCATATTTTGTATAATTGTTTTTTTAGATTTCTTGCCATACTGTATTTCTTAAATTATCGATTTCAATGAAGTATTTGCATGTGTTAATGATTTAGGATTTCAATGCATGTATTTGCATCGATTCTAAAATTAGAATTTGGATATTTGATTGTCGATTTCTGCTGTAGAGTCATAGAAAATGATTCGTGTGATTGGCTAGCATATGTCGATTGTGACGCCCAGTGGGAGAGACTTTGTTATATACACACTGATTTAACTCAGGGACGTGAACATTAAAAAGAATAAAGCAAGTATTTATTGTCTCTTTCCAAGTATCAAAAGTACTGAACCAATATCTTTTATGGTGTCCCAAACGGATACGTATCATTTCACCGACAATCACTTCACCGACATCTTAGTACACCGACAATTAATTCACCGACAAGTTCATTTCATCGACAACTTTTTTTTATAAACTACAAACCTTAACTCTAATTCTAGCCTGACCTTAACGGCAATGGCCAGAATTACTTTGTCTGTGAAATGAGCTGTCGGCGGATTAATTGTCGGTGAAATGAACTTGTCGGTGAATTAATTGTCGGTGAACTAAGTTGTCGGTGAAGTGATTGTCGGTGAAATGAGCACCACCCGTCCCAAACACTAACAATAACAAATATCCTTCCCAAACTAACCAATCTAGTACGTTCCCAACGCACTAAAATCCAAAAATACAAATCTACTAAATCCCTAAAAGACTAAGATACATAACGTTCTATATATCTATGAATAGACTCTAAAATAAGCTATATACTATTTAAAGGCTAATTAAGGTATGCTTTATACTTCGCATAAACTATTAAATTGTTACACGCAAAAGTATATAAAAGTATAATAAAAGTATAACGGTTATACAAAGCTTTTCAAGTAACATGCAATTTTATTTGTGAAACTATCTTTCTGTCTTAATTCCTTGCAAAATTTTAATAGGTTTTATGCTTTATTTTGCCTGAATATCGGTACTAATTATGTTTTATAGGTTTATGTTTGTTTTTGCCGTATTCTTCGGTCTGATATCAAGCCAGAATTTCGGCAAATAAGAAGAGACAGGATTTCTAAGCGTCCAATAAGAAAAATATCTTTACATCCAGATTTATAATATGAAACATGCATTGTCCAATGATAATCAGTCATCACCTACAATATAACCAATAACAAGTGTATATTGCTTCAAAATTACTTAATAATATTTTAGGTTAAGTCTATAGAAAAATTTTTCCGCCGCATATCAAAATTTATTTTATGCATGAATGTTACTTCTATTACTTAAATTTTTACGTAAATTTTAAAATCAAAATTCATTAGAGTTTAACAAAATTTAGAAAAATATAATAACTAATCTATAAATAATTGTGTACAAATATTGAATATATGTAATTGATATAATGTTTAAAACAATCTGGTAATATTTGGTATGAAAATTAATTGTATACAAATATTAAATATATAACATTTGATGGTATGAAAACTCGGATTAAATATATTTTTAATACAAGCACTTATTTTATAAAAGCAACTCTAAAAGTAATTGCAATTATTAAAAGATTAATTATATATAACAGTACCAAAGCTTGCTCTTGTATAAATATGCATATAATATATGTTTCTAATTTTATGATTAGCATTTCATTACTATCAATCTCTAATATCAATCTACTTCTAATTATAGATGTACCAATTTTGTATTTCATTTTTTAATGAACTAGATCTAGTTTGATAATGCGAATAAAATCGTGTCAGATTATTATGACCTGCACATTTGCACACAGCAATGCCTGCTTATATAGAATAGTTGTATTTGACAGGTTAATATAACATACAACTACGTATTTCTACTAATAATTCTGAACTTTGTAAATAAGTTCATGAAGGTAGTTACAAAATGTCTTTGTAAACCTGATTTGGGTATTATTATGCACCGATATATAATACTAGTAGGATTGGGTGGCGCTTACGCGCCACCCATCTTATTCAATCTCTTTTAGTTTAATAATAAATTATTTATAAACTTTTACTGTAAATAAGGTTTAGTTCAAAATCTCTTATAAATAAATAAGGTATTAAAAATTGGTAATATTCACGGATTTTATCTAATAAAATAGTAAACGTTCAACATTAAATCAGCACAAATAAATTAAATAGACTATTTCCATAGTTTTAATTAATAAATATCATTATATTTAGCAGATAAATTAATTTGAAATAAGATACTGAATTATTGACCAAGGGCACACTCAAGCGTCAACTTAGATGCAATTTCCTAGTAACCGAAATAGTAATCGAAATAGTGCAAAACAGTTATTAGCTATTTACAAAATTTTAGATAAAAATCAGTAAGATAAAGGGATATTGTTTAAATGGGTGCGGGTCAAGATCCCGACAGGTCATAATTCCGACAAAAAAACCCCACAGTCAAAAAAACCGACAATTAAAAATCCAAACAGCCAGAATTTTTAGGTAAAAAATCCCATATGTTTAAAGCGGAATCGACTCTTATAATTTAATTAACTTTAGGGTTAGGCCACTTTAGATAAGGATTAAGATAGAGTTTGCAATGATCTATAATATTTTTATCAGAGTTTTAATTGTCGGAAGTTTTACTGTCGGGATTTTTGACTCTGAGATTTTAGCTGTCAGGATTTTTTTGTCGGGATTATGACCTGTCGGGATTCTGTCTGTCGGGATTTTGACCCAAACCCTTTTGTATCAGTATTGAGAGGCTATCAGATTTGAAAACATACTGTCAAATATTCCAAAATCGATTTATATAGTGGACAGGTTTTATAACGGAAGCAAACTTTGTATATTAATTTTTTATCGAATTAGACAGGTTTTAGTGCGTTGGGAACGTACTAGATTGGTTAGTTTGGGAAGGATATTTGTTATTGTTAGTGTCTGGGACGCAATAAAAGATATTGGGTCAGTACTTTGGTTACCTGGAAAGAGATATTAAATACTTGCTTTATTCTTTTTAATGTTGACGTCCCTGAGTTAAATTAATAATAATATAACAAAGTCTCTCCCATTGGACGTCACAGTACACTGGAGCTTGTGAATTAATTGATTACGAAAAGGTTGCGTAATCTAAATTGTCTTATTAGAGATAATATTTTAACACATCTAACAAAAATATGAGAAGAATTAGACTTCCGCATTTTGTGAGGAATGTACAGTACGGATGTACTACGTTACAGTTGCAGCGGATTTTTGCGAATCCGTAATACGAACCCAAAAAGAATCTAAATATGTTCGGAAGGATATAGAAATAAATTATTACTATTTTTTTATATATAAAATTTTGTTTCCGACATTTTTGATTATTACTGTATTACACTAAGGTCTGTTTAAACATTAATTTTAGAATACTTCGCTTTTTTCGCTTTTTCCTTCTTTTACATGTATGTCAGTCCGGATCAAAATTGAATTCGCTGGTTGGTTGTTTCCTTTTTAGGAGTTTTGTATTTTACGCGGAATTTTGTAAATGCCACCTTGACCTTTGTAGATCAATGGTCACTGCAGGCCATAAAAATATTACAAGTTGTAATGCTTGTCATATTTATATTCTAACACATTAAAAATAAATTTTACTTTATGTAATCTAATGTTTCAAAAAAAAATAAATATACACACACGTGCGTACTCACACAATACCATATTTCGATGCTCCCTTTGGTTGATCATACAAAAAATCTTGTCGATTTATATCAAAACTAAACTTTGTTCTCAATTTGACAATCCACATCATTTATATAATTACTGAATTAGTTTGTTCAAACAACCAGTTATACATATTATTAAAGCAAAAAAGGTATTGAGACACTGTTTTGGCACTTCACAATAAATGAAAACAAATTGAGCCATTCTACTTAAAAGAGGATATAAATCATTTTACTGCGCTTTACAAATTACTGTGTCCACTGATTCTCATACACCACAACGGAAATCAGAAATTTAGGATAAATGCAAATCTGTGATTGGTTGAAAATAACTTTAGCCAATCACGTATTGGCATTTTTTCTACAGTGCGGAACAGCAAAAAACATCCAACTTTTTTATACAAATCGCCAAATTTACAATTATTTAATCAATTTTGATTGGCTAATTTTATATAAGAAATTTTAATTGGTTAAAAAAAATAT